GCCACTGCACTCCAGTCTGGGCGACAGAGTGAGACTCCAACTCAAAAAAACCCCAAAAGCAAAAAACAAGTAGATGGAACTACAGGTATGTGCTACCACGCCCGGCTTATTTTTTGATTTAGTGCGGAGATGAAGTCTCACCAAGTTGCCCAGGCTGGTCTCGAACCCCTGAGCTCAGGCAATCCTCTTGCCTCGGCCTCCCAAAGTGCTGGGATTACAGGCTTGAGCCACTGTACCTGACCACTGTCATCTTTTAAAGGGTCGCATCTTCCCCTGATATCCTGGGCTCTGGGTTGACAGAGCTCTCAGATCCCTTCCCAGGGCCCCTGTTGGCTTCCAGTCTCTGCTGACTGCACTTCTGGCTTGGGTCACCTCTTGCAACCTTGGTGACTGGCCCAGGAGCAAAGCAAGGAGGTGCTGATGGAAGGCTTGTGCCAACGCGCTCTGGGTCAGAGCCCCTGCGCCCCTGGCCATTCTCCAAGGAAGCACTGAGAATGCGAGGGTGGACCTCTTCCCTCCCTATGGCCCGTGCCCCCTGTGTCATCGGGGCCCTGGCCTGCCCTCACCTGGAAGTACAGGTTCTCCTGCACGAGGCTTTCGTTGGACAGAATCTTGTTAATGCTGATTCGCTTGCTGCTCATCCCGCCTAAGCCTGTGGGGTCAGAGGACAGAGGATGGTCAAGTCCTGGATACCCAGGCCGAGTGATCCCTCTGCCAGGGCTCCCCAGTCCCTGGGCCAGCTGCCGGCCTGGGATGGAGGAGCTAGGGCTGGGGACAGGCTGGGGCACAGGAGGGCCACCCCAGGTAAAATCAGGCCCCTCTGCCTTGGAGGGCAGCACACACCCCTTTCTCCAAGGTCGGCCATGACACCCGAGCCAGGACAGAGGTGGTGGCTGTCTTGCTTTCTCCCCAGCCTGTGGGCTGGGGATGGCACAAATCCCTACTGGTCCTCCCACCGAGAGCCCGTTCTTAAGGACGGGTGGTGACCAGTGTGAATGTGGCCAAGCAGCATGCCCCAGGTGACACCCTTCTCATTTTCCAGGTCTGTCTCCCACTCGGCCACTGCCTTGGCATGGCCTGTACCTGCCTCCTGGGCCACGTGGTAGCTCATGTGGCTTCTGGTCTGATTTGTGATACCTAATGCTCGATGAGCACCTACTATGTGGCAGACACTCTTCTACATGTATCACATGAATGTGCTCATCCATTCTCCCCACGCTTCTGTAAGGAGGTCGCTACCCTGAAAGATGAGGAAACTGCCAGGCATGGCGGCTCACGTCTCTCATTCCGGCACTTTGGGAGGCTGAGGTGGAGGATTGCCTGAGCCCAGGGGTTTGAGATCGGCCTGGACCACTTGGCAAGACCCTCGTCTCTACAATAAATCAAGAAAAATTAGCCAGGTGTGGTGGTGTGCACCTGTGTTTCCAGCTACTTGGAAGGCTGAGGCAGAAGGATTACTTGAGTCCAGCAGGTCGAGGCTGTGGTGGCTGTGAGCTTGCCACTGCACTCCAGCCTGGGCGACAGAGTGAGACTCTGACTCAATAAAATAAAATAAAATAATTTATTTCTTGCCTGAGCTAGGAAAAGCCTGATAATCTATTGTACTTCCCAGTGGCAAAAATAGGGGGACTTCCAGACCCCCTACCCAAGTTGTCCCCACAGCAGCGCTCACCCTGATTTGTACAAAAATAATGGTTCCTCTGTCCTATGGGTAGCTTTTGGGGCATATTTAATACAGAAAAGAAGCCTCCAGAAACTCAAGACTCAAGCTTGCCAATCCAAGAAAAAGCATCCCACAGGCGGGGAATTAAAAACAAATGGTGATGTCAAGTTGGTCCTGTCTGTCCTTTGCACCAGTGACAGTCAGTGACACCGTCTGGGATCTGGAGGGCAGTGATGGAAGTGTCAACCAGCCTCGGGATCGCAGGCTTTCGGGTGTGAGCTACGCTGGTCATACCAACCTGAAAAGTGACAAAAATAACTCAAGAAGAAAATGTATAATGGAAAGAGACAGTGCTGGTCAGTCAATACTGTAAATGTATCTTACGCCCCTGAACGGCGTGCCACAAATGGCTTAGATGACAAAGCTGTTATGCATATTTTATCACAATAAAAACAAGTTTAAGGACTTGGCATGGCCCCTGCAACCTGGCTGGCTGTCTCCGTCCGATCAGTTTTCCCCGTCTATGATTAATTCAGATGTCAACCTCATCCCAGCCTAAGTCTGTCCCAATTGTGTGGCTCAGTCAAGCAGACAACTTCTCACTCCGGAATCGACAGGGACCATGTCTGGCTGTGCATTGTGTCCACATCAAAGCCCACTTTTCTTTTCTTTTTTTTTTTAGTTGGAGTCCCACTCTGCCACCCAGACTAGAGAGTGATCGTGGCTCACTGCAGCCTCGACCTCCTGGGCTCAGGAGATCCTTCCGCCTCAGCCTCCTGAGATCTCTCTGGGGGCTCCAGCTGGTCGTTCCCTGCCAAGGCCCTGTGGCCACTCACCTTTGAACATGATGGCCTCTCCATGGCCCTCCTTCTGCTTCTCTCGGAAGAGCTTGTAGCAGGCCGAGGTGCTGGCCATGAGCAGCCGGAATTGCTGCGAGAGAGAGACAGTCCGGAGGGATGGTGTCAGCAGGGGGTGGGTGGCCAGGATCAGAAGGGAGTCCCTGCCCTGAGGGCCCAGGGCTTTGCCTGTCCCTCACCTTAAGCCTCCCACACTGAAGACAAGGGCTGCCTGGGGGGTTTCCCCTGTTTCTGAGGGATATTTCTCCTCCTCCTCCACCTCAACAATGCCATCAGGTCAAGGCTCAGACTCAAAGGTGCCTGGGACAGAGTAGAGGAACTTCTCCAAGTTGTTAAGAAGCCAGGCCGTTAGCACAGCATTTCCAGGATATGACGCTGCAACCATTCCTTTTGCTTCAGAAAATGAAACACCTCTTTCCAGGGTCACAGCTCCACACCCCATTGCTCTCTAGAGTGTTATGGCCAATCCAGTAGCCACTGGCCTTGTGTGACTAATGAACACTTAAGCTGTGGCTAGCCCAAATCGAGATGTGCTGTAAGAGTAAAATACTCACCATATTTTGAAGACTTTGTACGAAAAAAGAACATAAGCTTGCTCATGAACAATTTTCTCATTCATTGCATGTTGAAATGTAAACATTTTGGATTTACTTGGTTAAAGACTTATGTGCCACAGCAACAACATGCAAACCAGCATCAGCCTACTTCCTTCTTCCTCTGCCCTGTCTGGTTCCTCTAATCCGGCCCTCTGCCTGCAAGGGCTGGTAGTACATGGGTTTTCCACCATCCTATTCCCTCTGGCCTTGGGGACTCGCTCACCTTTGTGCCTGGGACCGGGACGAAGGTCATGAACTCATCCACGTGGCCCACGGTCAGCCAGTCCGAGTAGAGTTCCACGGGCGCCTGGACCTGCTGGGCCTGCAGGAAGTCGCGCACCACCTTGGTCATTCGCCGCCCGCCGGACCTGGAGCAGAGTTGGAGGGGAGGCGGCCCTCAGGAGGCTGCCTGCCATGCGGGTCTCCCCAGAGGGCCGGCAGGCAGGGAGCCCAGCCTCCGGAGCCCAGCCCGGACCCAGGGTGGCACCAGCAGGGAAGTCGCAGGAGGGAGCCTGAGCTGAGCTGAAGACCCTGGCCCAGCCAGGAAGGCACTGGAGCCCAAGGGGAAAGAGGGAGGGTCAGTCATGGCTGCCGGTCGTGCAAAGGAGGGTTAGTCGCGGCCCGTGCGGAGGCTGCCTTCTGTGCTCGGGCATCCCGCCTGCCTGGACACAGGATGGCTCCCAATTCTCTCTCCCAGGTACCTCTTTGCCACACTCATCTCTAATCCTTTCGAGATACCTCCTCCAGGAAGCCCTTCCTGACGTCTAGACTCCCAGAGGTCTTTAATCTCTCCATTTCCCGCGGAGTATAACCTAAGCTCCTTATGGTGACCCACAGATCCCTCTCGGATCCAGCCCCGCCGGGCCCATCAGCTGCAGCACCTGCTAAACTTGCTCTCCCTCAGGGCTTTGCCCTTGCTGTTCCTTCTGTTTGGAACGCTTTTCCCCTCTGTTCTCCCTGCAACGGCCGCCCCTTTCTCAATGTCCACGTCTCAACTCCAAAGTCACCTCCTCAACACCACAACACGCTTCGGTCCCCATCACGCTTCACTATGAGACACTGTCTTATGGTCTTCACCGTGCTCATCAGCACTCAGAATGACTTCCACTATTCACTTGCTTTTGTTTGCTTTCTGCACTCTCCTTACTCGACGGTCAAATCCCTGAGAGCCAGCCGAGACTCTCTGTTCTGGTCACTTCTGTATCCACAGAGCCTAGAACAGCGCCTGGCACAAAGTAGGTGCTCAATAAACATTTGTCTCTAAGGGGCCCTCCCTGGGTTCCCCCAACTCCCTCGCATGCTTTCTGCCACCTCACACCTCTCATCAGGGCCTAGTTGCCCGTCTGTGGCCTCCACCATCTGCTCAGAGGTGGGGCTGGACTTGTGTGTCTGGGACCCTGAGCCCGACACAGGGCCTGACACTGGGTTGCAGAAGCCGTTGTTGAATGGATGAGTGGCCGTCAAGTGAAGGGAGAGAGATTGGAGGACGGGCAAACGCTGCCTGTGCCCGTGGCCTCTCCCAGAAGGCTGAGCGCCTCACATGGCTCAGGACTGAGTGCCCAAATCCCAGCTGATGCTACACGTGCAGGCTCCTGGCAGCCCTTTCGTGAAGCGAGAACCCGAGGTATTCACTGTCTTCCCAGCGACTGTCCTGACAAGGGAGAATCTGCCTTTTCATCCACTGGTAAGTCAACTAGGCAGAGAGTGGCGACTTCGTGGACAGGTCAGGGAGCCAGGGAGTCACACTTCAGAGGCAAGACCAGCCCTGAGAATCCGCTGATGTTGCTCCTCCTGGGTCAGCATTCCTCCCCTGGATTCCTCCATCCCTTCCCCATAATCTCATTACCCATCCTCCCGTTTGGAGAAGAGGTTGTTTATTTAGTTATATATTAGATCCTAATTCATACTCAGGTGTAAAGGCTAACTTGGTTTTCTTTCCAAGAGTGTCTATATCTTAACAGAAAGTTGCAGGAGGGGGTAATTCTCCCAGCCACTTGCTCCATCTGTGAGCAACCCAGGTCATCCCCAAAAAGAAGCAGTAACCTCCTCCTGCCTCCCCGCTGTCCCCAGCCCAACTCTGGCTTCTCTTACAGAGGAAAGCTGCTTCCGATGAGAATCCGGCCGAGAGGGTAGGCCTTGCCGTTCACGGTCACTGGGGGACTGACCTCCAGGTTTCCAAAGGAGTCGAGGCTGGTGACGGGCTCAAAGAGGGGCTCCCGGGTCACGTAGCCGAAATCTGGGCCCTGGGCAGAGGGTACACACCTGCCATGAGTCTCGTGCAGCTGGGCTCCTCAGCCCCCAAGCTGGCCACCCTCTTTCAGCACCTCTGGTCTGGCTCTCTGGGCACTTAATCTCCGGGCAGGCTGCCCGTGGTCTTGTTATTTCCACCAAAGAGCAGGGGCCTGGGTGGGGCAGGCTGAGTGTGAGCACCTTGGTGTGAGTGTGTGTATGGTGCAAGTGTGAGTGTGTGTGCATCTGGATCTTTTTTTTTTAATTGGAGTCTCATTCTGTTGCTTAGGCTGGAGGGCAGTGGCACATTCATGGCTACCTCAGCGTCGACCTGCTGGGCTCCAGCAATCCTTCTGCCTCAGCCTTCCAAGTAGCCAGAACTACAGGTGTGCGCTACCATGCCCGGCTAATTTTTGATTTATTGTGGAGACGAGGGCTCGCCAAGTTGCCTGGGCTGGTCTTGAACCCGTGGGCTCAGGAAATCCACTCGCCTCGGCCTCCCAAAGCGCTGGGATGGCAGGCTGAGCCACCGAGCCCGGCCGTGCATCCTGGTCTCTGTGTGTGCCTCTATTTCCCAAACCTGGGTACATATGTGTGATTTTGGGATCAGGCCTCACTGTGTGCTATGCCCACTCCTGCTTATCTCTGACTTTCTCCAATACTCAGTTTCCCCATCTGCAAAAGAGGTATCTGATGAGGCAACCTGTGGCAGGGGGTGGTAGATCATATTATTATTATTATTATTATTATTTGAGTTGGAATCTCACTCTGTTGCCCAGACTGGAGTGCAGTGGCACACTCCTGGCCACCTCAGCCTCGACCTGCTGGCCTCCGGCCATCCTTCCGCCTCAGCCTTCCGAGTAGCTGGAACTACAGGTGCGCGCTACCACGCCCGGCTCATTTTGATTTATTGTAGAGATGAGGGCTACCAAGTTGCCCAGGCGGGTCTTGAACTCCCGGGCTCAGGCAATCTACTCGCCTTGGCCTCCCAAAGCGCGGAATTACAGGCTGAGCCACTGAGCCTGGCTAGATCATATTATTATTCCTAGAGATTTGCTGCTCCCTTTGCAAGAAGAGAATTTGGCCTCCTGACCCGTTGCCGAGGGACTTCTGGTCTCTCTCTGGACACATGACTCGCTTTGGCCAATGAGATGTGGGCAGGAGGGATGGGGCCAATGAAGAGCTGAAGCCATAAAGGCCACTGTGTGCGTCACCTGCTCTCTTCTCCCTGTGCTAGAGACCACACTGTCCAGACTGGGGCTGCTCTGCAGGCTGGACCCTAGAACGAGGAAGGCATGGGGAAGCAGAGGCCCAAATGCCCAGCCAGCGATCAAGGCGGAATGCAGCAGGAATCACACCCTTGCTGTTGTCAGGGGTTGCTTGTTACTGCAGCCTGGCCTAGTGAAAGCTGATCGACACACTCAGGAATGGCAGATACGAATACACAGGCCATCCTGCCCCTGCCCCTGAGCCCAGAAGCAGCCTCAGATTCCTTCTTAGCATTGGGTGGCAGCAAACGGTGGGTGCACAAGACAACCCACTGGCTCCTGCATTTTAAGGTTCCTTTCATGTATCGAGGCTGGCACAAAGCTTTCCTGATAAAAAATCCAGAGCAAGGGAGGATATGGCTTGTCCCGGCTCAGCCAAGAGGCTCAAGGGACAGTTTTGCCAGGGGGCAGGTGGCTGCAGCCTCCTGCTTTCTTGCCTGGGCCCCACTGGCCTCGCGGGAGCTTTTGGAGGCTGGGTGCTGGGCCTTTGCTGCATCACACAGGTGGATAGGCAGAGCACAATCAGGCCTGGCCTGGGCTTCCAGGAACAGGGCAGCCTGGAGCACTGAAGGCGGGTAGTGACCCAGGGAGGCCTCAGATTCATGACTGTGGCCACTGCCGCTGCTGCTGATCAATTTGACTCTACCTCTCACAGCGTCGGGGAAATCGAACAGTAGACACACCGAAGACAGTGTCTGGAGCCACAAATGATAACTGTGACAACAGCCAGCAAGGGTCACTGTGTCAGGATAGCACTGATGCCTGATCTAATGCCTCTCGTCTTACCTAGCCTGTGAGATTGACACCTTTTCTATCCCCATTTTACAGATGAGCAAATTGAGGCTTGCGGAGGGTCAGTAGCAAATTGAGGCTTGCAGAGGGTCACATTGCTGCTCAGGACTGGATTTGGGCAGGACTCAAGGCCAGGCCTGCCAGACATTCCAGAGCGTTGGGCTCACACCACTGGCTCGGCCATCTCTCATGGTGAGGCCCTCGGTGAGGAATTCGGTGAGAACCGGCAGCCCTGATGTCTCAGGGGGAGGCTGTCCTGCATGTGACCTTGAAAAAGTCCCTGACCCACCCCATCTCTGCATCCTGCCCTTCCTGGACTCTCCAGCCTGTTCAGGGCAGAGGGTGAGTACAACAGAGAGACTGACTTCGGTTCCGCCCTCACACAGTAGGTTGTCGAGGGCATAAAAGGAGTGAGAATGGCCTCTAGAATTGGAGGAGGGGGATGGCTAAAAAAAAAACAACCAAAAAAAAACAAACCAAAAACCAACCATAGGCATCGGAAACCACAGCCTCAAGTCCCAATGAGCTTGGAGGCTGGATCCATGGTTTTTGACAATTGCATAACTCTGTATTCCTCTTTGAAACTTATTTTGCTGCAAGTTGGAAGGGTGTTGCGGGCAGGGGGAAGGGCCTCTGGAGCCGGGTCTCGCCCAGTCTCCCGCAGTTCCCGTGTCCCGCGAGAAGATCCCCACGTTTTGGGAAAAGCGTAAGTTGTCGGAGGAGGAAATGACCAACGGGCCCGTTTTGCAGATGAGAAAACAGAGGCCCTGGGCAGCAGACAGACCCAGTATCAAGATGACCCAAGGGCTCCTTACGACTCTTTCCCTTAGGAGTCCCCAGGATCACGCCCTACGTGGCCTTCGGCATCTCACCAGGAGCTGCTTCACGGGGAAGTCCTTCAGGTTCCCATCCCGGGGGGAGTCCAGCACTACCGGGAAGCCTTTGTGGGGGGCCTCAATGTAGCCAAACTCGATTTCATCCTGTGGGGACACCAAGGAGAGCTGTCAGACGAGCCCAGGGGACACCGTGACTATCAGTCAGCCCGAGGGGGGAGAGGGCCAGGCTTGGGAACAAACAGGTCATCTGTGCACAGGCGCAGACAGCTCGAAAGGCACAAGAGCATTCAGAGGGGACAGTCCGTCTCCTCGTGCCCGTCTCGTGTCCCCTCTCCTTGCATGCTAACATTGCAGTCTACCATCTTCCCACAGAGGCTCTGCACCCGACAGGCAGGTTTCTTACAGATATCAACCCCCCCTCTTTTTTGAGACAGGGTCTTGCTCTGCTGCCCAGGCTAGAGTGTAGTGGCACAATCATAGCTCACTGCAACCTCGAATTCCTGGGTTCAAGCGATCCTCCCTCCTCAGTCTCCCAAGTAGTTAGGACTACAGGCGTGCATCACTATGCCTGGCTAATTTTTAAACATTTTTTTGGGTAGAGATCGGATCTCACTATGCTCTCAGGCTGGTCTCTAACTCCTGGGCTCAAGTGATCCTTCCACCTCACCCTCACAAGCAGCCAGGACTACAGGTGCATGCCCCCACACCCAGCTAGTTTTAACATTTTTTGTGGAGGCGGGGGTCTTGCAATGCTGCACAGGCTGGTTTCAAATTCCTGGGGTCAGGTGATTCAAAGTGCTGGGATTACAGGCGCGAGTAACTGTGCCTGGTCTTGACCTCCCCCCTTTTTTGAACTGGAGTCTCACTCTGTCACCCAGGCTGGAGTGCAGTGGCACACTCACAGCCACCGAAGCCTCGACCTGCTGGACTCAGGCGAGGCTTCTGCCTCAGCCTTCCAAGTAGCTGGAACCACAGGTATGCGCCACCACCCTCGTCTAATTTTCTTATTTATCATAGAGACGAGGTCTTGCCAAGTTGCCCAGACTGGTCTCAAAACCCCTGGGCTCAGGCAATCCTCTTGCCTTGGCTTCCCAAAGTGCCGGAGTTATAGGCGTGAGCCACTGTGTCTGGCAGACCCCATTTTAAAAAACATAAATGGCAGCATTTTGAATATATGTTCCTCCAAGTAACAACTTGAGGCATATTCTGTATCCGTATTTATCGACTGGCTTCATTCTTTTAAACTGTTGCATAGAACGCCTGGGCAGGCTGTTGTTACCCCATCCCCCACGGGTGGACACTTGAGTCTTGCTACGACCGGGAGCAATGCTGTGGGCCCTATCTGGCACACCCGTGTCTCTGTGTGCCTGTGTGAGCTGCCAGAGTCCCCACCCATGGAACTGCTGAGTGCCAGGCGATTTATGTGAGTCCAGTTCAGTCTGCCCAGTCCAGACTCGGGCACTCACCTGGATCCAGCGGTCACCGCGGTTAATGTACTGGAAGCACACCTTCAGCTCACAGTTGGTCTTTTCCACCAGATTCTTCACCTCTTTCAGGAACAGGTAATTGTCTTTCATGCTGGGGAGTTTGGAGAAGAGGGGAGGCCAGGGTGAGAAGGGTCCAGGGCCACCTACCGAGGTGGTGACAGCGGCCGGCACCTCTGGGTTGTGTCCGGGAGATGTGACCATGTCTGTGTCCACGGCCACCTTTGTCAAGGCTGCCGGAATCAAGGGCCAGGCAAGCCTACCCCTCATGGGGTATTTGTCAAGGTCGTGAACAAATAAAATGAGGAAGTGAATGCTCACCCCCCACCCCCACCTGTCCTGACTGAAGCCCGATGTCTCTGACTCTGCAGATTTAAAAAGAGAGCCATGGTTTTTTTGAGCCACAAAGGGCCACGAAGACAGGCTGGGCCTGAGGCCCTCTCTCCCAGGGCTGCCAGCGTCTGACTGTGGGCACGTCTTTCCCTTGCCTCTTGTCTTGCTGTGGCTAGCCCAGCTCATGTTGGTGCTCAGTGAACGTTTGCTCAATGAATGAGGAAGAGGAGTTGCAAGGCCAAGGTTCCCGATGGCACAGCAAGGAGTTAAGCAAGAGAAAAGAATGGCAGCTCATTTGTTTACAGTACATGTCTGTGCCGGGCCTTGGAGAGACGCTTGGCCTGCTTCATCTCCATTATATTTAAATCATTTTTTAGAGGCAGGGTTTTGCTCTGTCACCCATGCTGGAATACAGTAGTGAGGTCACACATAGCTCACGCAGCCTCAAATTTCTGGGCTCAGGTGATCCTCTGGCCTCAGTCTCCTGAGTAGTTGGGGCTGCAAGTGTATGCCACCAAGGCTGGCTAATTTTTTGTAGAGATAGGGTCTTGCTGTGTTGCCCTGGCTGGTCACAAACTATCTCATTGAAACCTCATAGTGACCCTATGATGTGGGCATTTCGGAGAAACTGAGGCACAGAGAGGCCAAGTGTGCTCAAGGTCACACAGCTGGTAGGTCACAGAGCCAGGAACTAGACTCAGGTCCATCTGACTCCAAAACTCTGGCTCTTGGCCACTCTGCCACACTGTCCCTCTGGCCAGGGGCCGTCCCTTACCAGCACACAAATACCGACACTGGAGGCAGGATGTTGGGTGTCATGATCCACGGAGCAATCCGGAATGTCACGGTGTCCGTGAAGATGGGTGTCAGGGGAATCGCCTGGGTGTGGGAGAGAAGGGGCGTTAGAAAGTCCCGCCAGGCCGCTTTCCCAACTGCCTCTGAAAGTGGGTGTAACTGATGACATCAGGCTGCTTTCTGAGCACCTACTGTGTGCTGGGCCCTGTGCTATGTGTTTTTACATATGCCAGTTCTTTTCTGCCTTACAACAGCCCCAAGAACGGGGTACTCACTTTTCACGGAACTGAGTCACCAAACTGTGATGTAACCGTCCAAAGTCATAAGATTAGTAAGTGGTGGAGTCAGGCTGTACACCCAGGCGGTTGGCTGCTGGGTCCACGCTCTAACCATTGTCCAATCTCGCCCCATCAAAGTTATTTTCTTGAAATGGGCCCCCACACTGGCTGGGCTGGCCGTGCCTTTCTCTGATTTTTCTCTGGGCCCCTTTTTTCTCTTATTTTGGCATCATTGGGGGTCAGTTTGACCATGTCCAGACTGTTCTTTGTTTTAAGGAATGGCTCAGGCAGTTTTCTGGAACCTCAGGGAGAGTGATGTATGATTTTGGGGTTCTTTCTCGGGGTCGGCTTTGAAAAGCTAAAGGAAATGGGCCTCTCTCTTGGCGGGGAGGATGGGGATAGGACCGTGAGCATGCCGACCTTTCCTACCCTTCTCCGCCGTTTGAGCCTCTGCAGGTGCCCGCTGGAAGAGCCTGTCTAGAGATTCCGGGGCCCAGGCTGCCCTGGAATTATGAGAATCCCCTCCCTGCCCCCATCCTCTTAGCTTTGCCTTTTCAGCCTTTTCCACTTCTCAGGGAGCTCGAAGATGCTTTGAGTGAGAACTTTACAAGTTTGGATACTCACAACCACCCCAGGCAGGGAATGCTTTTCCCTTCTATTTTGCAGATGGGGAAACCAAGGCACAGGGAGGCTAATTTACTTGCCCCATGTTTCATGGTGGCTAAGTTGGGATTTGAGCCTGGGCAGTCTGACCCCAGAGCCCATTCTCATGCATCTAAGCTAGACCCAGACGCACCCTCTGGGGAGCCCATTGAGTCCTGCCCCAGAGTGGCTGAGGGCCAAAAACGGGGAGGCATTCCTGGGTCTAGGAGAGCAGCCGGGTTGCTCCCATTGTCTGAGCGAAACAGGATGGGCCTGAGAGGCTGGGGTCTGCGGACGCGAGGTCTTTGCGATGAGATGGTCTCATCAGCAGGGCACACCCTAACGCAGTCCCTTTTCTAGAGAGGCAGGGCCCCTTCTCCTCATCCAGCTTCCCCCAAAGCAGGAGCATAGCTGGCTGCGATGTCTAGTCACAGGGCAGGTCACGACTTGGACCCAGGATCTGATGCTCTGCCTGCGCTCAGAGTTGGTCTAACCCATGGCTGGGGGGAGGGGCCAGCCTGGCATGAGAAGAACAGGGCACACAGCAGGTGGTCAACAAACCTCAAACCTCACACGTGTGGCCCGGTTAGAGTCTTGCACTGACCATGGGTCTCCATGGTCAGTGCAAGACAAGCAGAGACAGACAAGGAGAAAGGCAGACAGGGCACAGGCATGGAGCGAGCCAGAAAACATCTCCTGTTGGGAGTCAGTTCCTGGGGAACAGGTGTGGTAAAGAGGAGGAACCCAGGAGTATAGCTCAGAGGATCCCAGTAGCCATGAATGGGCCCCTAGCCTGGACACCCCCCTCAGGCTTTTGAGGGGAACAGACCATGGCATGGGCTCCTCTGAGCGGCCCCCCAGTCAGTGCCCTGCCCCAGCCTCCAGAGCCCTCACCTCCGTCAGGTACTCCAGCAGGCTGACGTGGATGGAGACCAGGCCCGAGAAGCCCTCGTCGGGGAATCGGAGGCCTTCCACAAAGAACAGCAGTTCCGCGGAGCCGCCTGTGTACTTGACCACGTGGTAGAGCTTCCTCCGGCCCAGGATGTGAATGTAGCGCTGGCCAAAGAAGGGGTCTGGAGCGAAAAGGACCGACATCAGGCCCCATCTCTATCAGAAAGATGGCGGTGGGGTGAGATCACTGATGGGGACAAGAGGGCAAGGGGACTTGTCCTCTAGACACAGAGAGTAAAAAGCACAGGCAGAAGATGCCACCAGCATGGCCACAGTCTGGTCATCATCATTGTCTCAGCACTGCTGTGTGGCACTGTGCCACACAGACACCTTTTCAGGCTCTGGCTTCCTCGTCCATAAAATGGGCAGTTCTCTCATGAATGGCACGTATGCAGTGACTGCAGATGGTCACTGAGCAGCGGGGTGGTGCTGGGGAAGGATATCATTGTTCCCATTTCACAGAAGAGGAAACCAAGTCTCAGCAAGAAAGAATGGCTTGTCCAAGGTCATACAGCCGGTGAGTGGCTGAGCTGGGACTCAAATCCATGTCCAATTCTGAATCCCGAGCTCTCATGCCCTTTGTGGAAATAAAACACAAGTGTGCCCGTGTGTCCCCAAAGTCTCCTCCGTATTCTGGAAGCCAGTTGGTGTAAGGAGCAATGCCCAGGCCTCTGACTGTCCATTTTTGTGGCTGGGAGAGAAGGCAGGTCCGTCCAGCACCCCTGCTCCACTGGAACCTCCCAACTCATCATGCGCTGTTCCCTGTGCTTGGAACAGTCGTGTGTGTCCTTCCTGCAGGCCTTGGTCTGTGTAATCCTGCCTAGATTCCCCCCCCCCCCCCGCCCCAGAGACTAAGCCAGGGTCTCTGTTTGGAACTCCTGCAGCTCCCTGCCCTTCTGCATCACCGCCTTTCTAATTGCAGGTGTCCTGTGTGAGGGCAGAGACAGGCCCAGAGGGGCCCAGGGCCTGCTTGGCACATGGATATGTTTAACAAATGTCTATTGGGGCCAGGTGTGGTGGCTCATGCCTGCACTCCCAGCACTTGAGGGAGGCCAAGATGGGAGGATTGTTTGAGCCCAGGAGTTTGAGATCAGCCTAGGCAACATGGTGAGACATCATTTCTACAAAATTTTAAAAAAATAGCCAGGTGTGGTGGTGTGCACCTGTAGTCCCAGCTACTCAGGAGGCTGAGGCAGAAGGACATCCTGAGCCCAGGATATTGAGGCTGCAGTGAGCCATGATCGTACCACTGTACTCTACCCTGGAAGACAAAGTGAGACTCCCACTCAAAAAAAAAAAAGTCTACTGAATGGGCCAATGGCTCCCATACCACTCCCCACAGGAGAGGCCAAAGGGAGACTTTCAGGCAGATGGAGAGCACGTGAATTGAATGACCACTCTGTGACCAGCATAGGCAGGGACCTTCAGTGGGGGACAGAGGTGGTCACCACGGAGTGTCTCTGCCTGAGAGCAGTGCTCAGCCGGTGATAAGATAGAGCAGATGTGGAAGTGTCGTCAGGGGTGAGATCTGGTCTGGTTACTGGGGGGCGGGGGTGGAAGGGTGGCAGGGAGGGAAGAGTCCAAGCAGGAAGGCAGCCTTCAGATGCCCTCGTGGGGAGGCAAGGTGGAATGCGGAGGGAGAGGAGATACTTGCATTGGCAAAGGCATGGAGGTAGAACCCTACGCAGTTCCAGAAGGAGTTTCCTTACGCCCTGTGGAGCTGGAAGGGTAGAACCAGGCTCAGCTTCGTGCCTTCAGTGATCATGGTTAATGACCAGTTGCCCAAGTGTTAGAACATGTACTCAAAATAGTCCTGGCATGACAAGGCGCTTGATTAACACCTGCGAAATGATTGAATGGCCCGCGGAACCCGGGTTTGGGGTGTGCCCTCTGCAGGATGATGTGCCCTCCAGTCTCTGGTTATAGCCTCCCCAAGGGCCGTCACCTGAGTGCTTCTGGCATTCAGCGTCAGAGAGACCTCGGCTCAAATGTTCAAATACAAGCTGTGCAATCTCTGGGAATTTGCTTAACCTCCCCAAGCCTCAGTTGACTCATCTGTCAAATGGGGGATAATACTACCTATGCCACAGGGTCACTGCCAATGACACAGCTTCAGTAATCTTGGTAACCATGGGTGACCACGGGTGACACGGCTGGTTCCTGTTGGTATTACGAGGAAGAGAGTCGGGGAGTGGTCTGCACTCCCCTTACTGCAAAATTCAGGACATTCTCATCGAACAGCTTCTGAGCAGAAGGCAAAGAAACGATGTCTCACCTCAGCCTCCCTTGGAGAAGAGAGTCCATGAACAAGGTGGAGAAATTCAGACACTGAAAGTTCCAAGGAACAGAAGGCGAGTTCTGCCTACCCAGAATCCATGGCATGTGGCCTATGGCCTGTTCACCGAGTAGATCCAGGCAACGGGTATAATTAAGAATCCTCCCCAGGCCCTTGGACTCTCCATGCCCACAGGCTCCAGGCTGCCCTCGAACTGAGGCGCAGGGCACAGTCAAGCCTAGAAGCCACTTGCCCTCACAGAAGCAGAACAGCCAGAGCTTTCTTAGGGCTCGGGGTTGCAGGGGGTGGGAATGGGGTCCTCTAGGTGTGGGGTGGGAGGGGGCATCTGGCTGGGCGGTGGCTCAGGTGGGAGGACACATTCCGGTCCATCTGCTAGCAGCCCTGTCCCTCCCGGAGTGGCCTGTGGCCTGTGATTCACAATGTTTCTCTATCCTGGGCCTCTTTCTAGAAGTTGGGCCAGTTCCAGGCAGATTGATTTCTCGGTGGGAACAAGCCAGCCATTGTCCCCATCCTCCGTCTCTGTTCCCAGCTCGGCACAGACCCCCCTCCGAGCATGGCTCTCCCTGCAGGAACCAACAATGCCCGTCTGTCGAGTGGCCCTCATGCCTTTGGCTGGGCACGCCGGCCACTGTGCCCTTTCCTCCGCCCCAGGCACTGGCCCCGGCTGACCAGCACATGGTATGGCTTGGCATAACCCTCCCAGTCCTCTGAAACAGCTCAGCCTCCCAGGGAGATGCAGCCACAGTGTGATCAGCTGTCTTGGTTTGCATGGGACTGAGGAGTTTCCTGGCACAAGGAACTTCCAGTGCTAAAGTCAGCAACGTCCTGCAAACTGGAACAACCTGCTCCTGTATCCTTGTGGAAAGAGGAAAGGCCCCAGCGCTCCCCGTTCTGGGTAAAGCCTGAGACTGAGCAGTCACCAGGACTTTCAGGAGCACTGGAGACATCTGCCCACTCTGATCATTGTAATGAATAGCCATCACCAGAATCCCAACAAAAGCCACCATTGCCATTCATGGAGCGTTTTCCACAGGTCTGCTACCGTGCCGAGTGCATGACACACATTCCTACTGAACACCTACCACTGTGGGGGACAGTCGGGACTCTTGTTCTTTCCAGGGCACTCCGTAGAGGAGGACCCCAGGGCTGGGGATGGTGAGAAGACTTGCCTGGACCCAGAATCTGAACCTCCCTGACTTCAGCGCTCCCTCCCAGAGTCCCTGGGTCTCCAGCCTAGCCCCCTGGGGACAGCTGGCCTACATTTACCAGGGTGCAGGTGACCACCTGACATTCGTGTCATATGACATGGTCTCAGCCACGGGTGTACTTGGAATCTGAAAAAAGGACACTATGCAACTGGCCAATGATCTGCCTTTCTTTGTGTGTGTGGCTCAGAGTAGTCACTCGGGAGTCCATGTTTTGTGGGAAACGAATGATTCTGGGTCGTCGCTCTCTCCCGCAGAACACCCAGGACTGCTCCCTGCAGGACGAGGCAGCCCAGATAGGGGAGATTCCAGGGGACCACACGCTTGCAAAGCAGGTCCTCTTTCTTCTTGTCTCTCAGGACCCATCTTGGATGGCCGGCGGGGGGGCGACATGAATATGAAGCCAGACCAGCGTCCACTCCCGTCCACAAAAAGAAGGCATCTTAGATACCGTCCAGACGTCACTAGCAGCAACAGATCTTCTGCCATGACGCCGAGGCCGAGAAGCTCAGGTCGAGGTCCAGCCCGCACCCCTCCTGCCCCCACCAGTGACCCTACCCCCGTGGCAACCCTGGCCTGGACAGTGTAAACATCAACATCTCAGGCCCCCTGGAGCCACGGAGCCAGCCTGACTCTGGGGACATTCCAACCTGTGTGAGGTCATTGCTCAGAGCCCAGGGCGGATCAGAAGGAGGGCTGGCACGGGTGGCTGCTGTTCACTGCCGTCCTGGCTAAATTGCTCCTCGAGGTGAGGGGCCAGGGTCCCCACAACTTGCTCCTCATGGTGAGTGCCTGGTTCTGGTGGGTCTGCCTAGAGGAGGGCCCGGGGTTGGCCGGAGACCCTGGACACCCCCGTACCACGGCAAATTGCAAAGCCGACTGTTTCGCTGAGGGAGCTTTTTAAACACCTAAATCATATCTCTGACAGTCCCTTGCTCAAAACCCTCTAATGGCATTCCACTGCACTCAGAATAAAATCCAGAGCTCGCACGCTCTGGCCCCTGGCCCAGCTTGCTGACCTTGACTCCCGACATGTCCCCCGCTCTGAGTTTCTTTCTGCTCCAACCTGGCTCCCTCCTCCATGCCCGGCATGCACTGTTCCCTCTGCGCCAAACACTCTTCCCTCAGCCCTCGTGTGACTGGGTCTTTCTTACTGTTCATTTGAGTCTCAGCTCAACTGTCGCCTCCCCAGAGAGGCCTTTCCAGACCAGGCCATTCTCTGTTCATTTCCTCCAACGGTGCTATCAATTCCGTCTCCCTCGATAGACCAGCAGCTCCCCGAGGCAGGTGGGTGGCCATGTTCACTGCAGCCATCCCAGTGCTGAGAATGGCACCTTCACCGGGGGCTCAACACATCATCACAGAAAGAAGGAGATGGGGCAGGGAGCTACGAGAACTAGCTGTACAGAGCACCATCCCTGCACAGTGGGGGCCCGGGATACCCACCACTGTCATGAGGAACAAGGGGTCAGCTTCTTGAGGGTGCTCACCGCATCTTCAGGGGGGATCTTTAAAAGTCAGAGGTGAAGCCGGGCTCGGTGGCTCAGCCTGTAATCCCAGCACTTTGGGAGGCTGAGGTGAGTGGATTGCCTGAGCCCGTGGGTTCGAGACCCACCTGGGCACCTTGGCGAGACCTCATCTCTACAAGAAATCAAAATGAGCCGGGCTTGGTAGCACGCGCCGGTAGTTCCAGCTACCGGGAAGGCTGAGGTGGAAGGATCGCCAGAGCCCAGCAGGTTGAGGTTGTGGTGGCCGGG